TGGAGAAAGTTGATTTGGAAATTAAATAAATATCCGACATCTCACACTAAAATGTCCATTGTGCCAATCAGTCAAGGTTGCTACAAGTTGAATAGTGTTTCAGTCTAACTGAAAGACATATTTAATCTAATCACTAATCAGCAATTTAGAAATTTTAAGATACAACAATGTATTAAACTATGTAATGGCAACAGAACAGAGTGTATTTGAGTTTTTATTTTCTGCTAAATATTTTCTGCTAAATATTTTATTTTCTGCCAAAGTAGATATTTTGAAAGATGCTGTTTGCTGGGATCTATGGTCTTCCATTGTATTCTTTTTCTTACTGTGGAAGTGAAAAATATTTTCTTTTGCGTTTAGCAGAAGAAACAAACTCATTAACCCATAAAACCATATGCGAGTTAGTAAATGATGTGGTAATTTTTATTTTTGGGTGAACTATACCTTTAAGACATGTAGAGTATAACCGATACTTTATAATACAAGTGCAGAATAGACATGTACACAGCATAATCACACTATTACTGTAGTGTTGGAAATTTTTCCCCATTTTGAGACAGGATTCACATGCGGCAGCAAACAAAAGAGCATCCGCTATAATCTTTTTGCACATATACAGTAGCATGACAAATGATTTCCTACCCTTAATGTTTTTGTACAAATTAAACAAACATTAAACATCCAAAATGATACCGTAACAAAGACAATCTGTATACATTGATATGCTACATTTTAGAGGAAACTATAGTGTGCTGTTGATCAATCTATGCACTATAACATGTAAAAGCTAACATTCTAAAAACAGCTACATAATGTAAACGTAATCATATTGTTGTCTTATTTCTGATGTCCATGTGATTTCTGAAATGTTCCCAGTGAGAAAGTCTGTGGAGACTGTCAGTTTTCTTAAGAATTTGACAGATGTACCAGTGCAGATACACAGAGCTGCCAGAGCATATAGCTAAAGTCAGAAGACTTCTATCAAAAGTGACTATCAAACCTCAGTGGTTTGTATATCAGCCCCGTCCTCCATCTTAGGGTTCGGTGCACCCTGTCAAAGGTGTTTTATTTATTTATTTTTTCCTGCTGTGGAGGTTTGTATGGTGTTGTGTAGGTGTGGTGATGCGCTGATGCCGCATTCATCTGTAAGAAGGCCATTGGCTCCGGGGAAATGCTAGTGTCAACTGCAAATGTAGGCCAGCTGAAAACCTCCACACACTCCAAGCCCACGCCTGCAGTATTCGTGAACACATTAAAAACACAGAATACACTCGCAGGGCATTTGAGATTGAAAATTGCCCGGTGCAACTGTGAAAAAAAAAATAATAATGATATACTGGTAAAACTGGCCCACACTCTTAAAAATAAAGGTACTATTAAAAACCAAAAAGGATTTTCACATTGATGCCATATAATAACCTTGTTTGTTTGTTTGTTTGCTTGTTTCCTTCAAACAACCATTTTTTTGTGTTTGAAGATCATTTTATCTGAGGAACCCCTTTGCACTGTAGAGAACCGTTTGTGGGTTGAAAAGCTATGCATGTTAAAGGTTAGGAAACCATTAATGCCAGTAAAGTATTTTTATTAGTGTAATCAGAGTTTTTGGACCGCAATATAAATACTAGGAATGCACCAATAGATTTTTTTGCAAGGCAAGTTTATTTATATTGCACCTTTCATCTACAGTGGTATTTCAAAGTGCTTTAGGAAGACAGAAATAAAAGAGACAATTATAAAAACAAATAAAAATGTTTAAATGTGTTATAAAATAATGTAAATGAAAAAAAAGACATGATAGTGAGATCTGTTGGACATATCACAGTACTCATTTGGTAAAGGCACAGCTAAACAGATGTGTTTCAGTCTTGATTTGAATGTGCCTCATGTTGGCACACATCTGATCATTTCTGGAAGCTGATTCTAGCTGCATGGGGATGCAGTAGCTGAAGGCGGATTCACCCTGCTTTGACTGAACCCCTGGAATTTCTGGTTTATATGATCCTAAAGATCTGAGTGATCCATTTAGTTATTTATAGACAAGTAGTAATGTATTAAAATCTATTCTGAATGTAACTGGGTGCCAGTGTAAAGGCATGAAGTCAGGTGTGTTGTGCTTTGATTTCCTGGTTATGGTCAGAATCCTGTCAGCAGCGTTCTGGATGAGCTGCAACTGTCTGACTGTCTTTTTGTAAAAGCTAGCGAGGAGTCCATTACTGTAATCCACCCTGCTGCTCATAAAAGCATGAACAAGTTTCTCTAAGTCTTCACTGGGAACAAAGCATCTAATTCTTGCAATGTTTTTGAGATGGTAGTATGCTGATTTAGTTACTGCTTTGACATGGCTACTGAAACTCAGATCTGACTCCAGAATCACACCAAGATTCTTGACCTTATTTTTTGTTGTTTGACCCTTAGAGCCAAGGTACGTGTTCACCTTGAGAACCTCATCTCTGTTCCCAAACACAATGATTTTAGTTTTCTCTTTGTTTAACTGAAGATATACAGTATCAGCAAAAAAACATTTGATCAACACAGTTACCGATATTATACAGTACAATACAGTACAAGCTAGAGGAGGCATAATTTAGGAGTGAATTTTCAAAGCTGATTTTTGCTATTCAGTATTGCTTTTAACAGCATTAACTTTTATTTGACATATAATAGAAGATAGCTGTTTAACAAACTGAACAAATAAAGCCAGTGCTGTAGCTGCTTTGTAATAAAAAAAATTGCTTCTCCAGAAAAATACTCACTAAAGTGTTGTTTTATTGTCTAAGATGTTTTAGCTGTAACTAATCAAAACAGTGCACATTAGTTGCTTTTCTGATGCATGTCTGATATTTGTATTTCTTTTTGCAAGTATTTAATGATTTTGCTCTGAGAAAAAAATGTTGGGTTGTTATTATTAACCATCAATATTGGCCTTTTTCATGTTATTGCAGATATGCCTATAACTTTAGATGAATCCAACATTACCCAATAAATGTTAAAAAGCGATACATCACTACACCCCTAACTCTCCTGTCTTGTTCAGTTCCCTCCCCTTACTTTAGTGTTTCCAGTCAAAATTCACCTGTGTTTTTTCAAAACCAAATTTTTATTCAACATTTTTTAGCTGTGAACAATGTCTCAAAGTAGTGTTTAACGTGAATTAATAGAATTAGACATAAAATAACAGTGAGTTATAAAATAATGGTGAGTGAGTAGGGGGGGGGTGTACAGTATGTTTTCTGTCTGATGGATGAATATAGTCCCATTCATTTTCTATGGTGGTCACTTTTAAACCCCACAGGTTCAAAACCACTCAAAATTCAATAAAAGAGGTGATCATCACTTTTATTTGTTCAAATGCATAGTGTGGAGAATATTATTAAGCCTTAATGCAATTAGATGTAAAACATAATATTTGAAAGTGTTTTAAGTTGTAAATTGGTCAGATTTGACCCTATTAAGGTTAATAAATGAAATTTTAATATTTAATTTTAAAAACTACAATATCCAAATATGCCTAAACGTACATTATTTATATGCAACATAATGTATACTACAGGGACATTTTGTAGATGTTTATTCCAGTCAACTGAGCTTGTGATATGAAAGAATCTGTCAGATTTTTAAAGTTTAACTTGGTAAAGTGAGTTTCATGTTTTAGATTTTCTATTTACTATATTCATCTAAGCTGCTGATTACATCCACAGTGCAGAAAAATTTAAGCAAAGTCAAAAAAATATCATATTGATACTTGAATTAGGATTGGGCAATGTTGACCAATTTAGCATTGTACTATGTCAAATATATAACATCGCAATGGATTGTGGCATCATAAGCGGCGGTGAATTAATTATTTATAAATAATTAATGAATTTATAACTAATTAATTATTAGTAGCCTACTGTAGCCTACTACCTGACCCACATGGTCTTTGTTTTATCCATAACCAAATCATAAATAAATGAAGATAAGTTACACACAAATTACCACCTGTCAATCGCTTTTTCTGCATGACTCTGGCATGACCAGGCAGAGTGATCTGTGTCGTTATAATGGCGTTGACAAACTGGTTAGTGAAAAAGGTGCACAACCAACAGGAACCACCTAACAGTATCTGAGGTTTATGATAAAATTACTTAGTATAAGCGTGAAAGCAAAACATTGAAGCAGTGTACTGACGCTGTGATATGTTACCTGATAGATACAAAAGACCAAAGATTCGTTAGATTAAGAAAAGATTCATTAAATTTAACTTTCAACAACTGTAGTAAGACGCAATCCAGTGGTAAATCCTTGACAAACAGTTTGTGTGGTCACGTGATGTGTGTTTTCAGCGAAATAGTGTGAACGGAGGGCGTGAATCATTTGCATTCTAAAATGGCATTTTAAAATAAGACATATTAGTGTAAACGGGGTCTAAGTGTGTATTTTTCGTGAGCGGGTTGCTGCTGCGATAGAGGCTGGGCGGAGGATCGCGATGCCGGCTCAGCATCGTGATGTTTATCAGCGATGACATCGTCTAACGACCCAACCCTAACTTGAATATAGGTGATATTTCACTTATAGCTTCCATTATATACTCTACAGTACAACATTATTCTAGAAACAAAACATTTTGCTGTAATTTACCTACATGTCATTTTCCTTTCTACAGTCTGTAGTTCATTCTTAGTGACCAAAATTATTTACTACTGATGGCATTATGACCTTCCTTACAGTACAATATAATACATAGTACATAGTAAAAAGCATCACAAATATTCCTAAAGAATCTTAGCATAGAAAGCATCTCAGAGTCTCCCACAGAAAACTCGAATAAATGGGCTTCTATGAGGAGTTCTTTTTTTGGTCCAGTCGCATAATCTAAATGTCACAGTAATGTCAAAATATTCAGTGAGGGTGTGTAATAAGCTTTTTCTCCTTTTCACAGGTCATCTAACACAACTGAAACTGTGCAAGTGAGCCACTAGGGAGCTGGACGGGTGGAGTCAGCCAATCGTAGGAGAGAGATGTGGACACAGAGGCGGTGGGCGGCACTCGCAGTGTTGTCAATAATCTCACTGCTGTCAGAGGAGGCGGCTGCTATTGAAGTCCCTCTGGACCGTAAGTCATCATTTATATCATAACTCAGAATATAATTTACTGAAGACACCCACTCAAATGTCATTCAGTGAAATAATATTTTAATATAACAAAACATCAAGAATATTTGCAACAAGAACATTTCGTTATATATTAAATGACTGTATACAATATATATAATAACAACATATATATATATATATATATATATATATATATATATATATATATATATATATATATATATATATATATATATATATATATATATATGTTGCATACACCGTTGAAGTCAATTATTAGCCCTCTTGTGATTTTTTTTTTCCCCAAATATTTTCCAAATTATGTTTAACGGAGCGAGGAATTTTTCTCAGTATTTCCTATAATATTTTTTCTTGTTTGTTTTATTTCAGCTAGAATAAAAACGGTTATTATTATTCTTAAAAAACTATTTTAAAGTCAATATTATTAGCCTCTTTAAGCAGTATTTTTTTCAATTGTCTACAGAACAAATCTTTATACAATGACTTGCCTATTACAATTGTGTTTTCCTTGTATTGATAATACAGTAAAAGACTCTAAAGGTCAGACGATCACCTTATCCTTCAGATTTGGCCTGATAATAAACACCTTTACATTTTTTTTGATTGTTAACTATTTTGATGGTCAAATCTGTCTGTTGCCCTGTTTAAAAGGAGCTATACACACCTTATAAGAGTGGAGTGACCAAAATCTCAATATTAATATTAGTACTGTACATTTTAATATCCGAGTCAAACCAAAGAAATTATCACAACAATTATCTAAATTACTCTAACTAGCCTAGTTAACCTAATTAACCCAGTTAAGCCTTTAAATTAGACTTTAAGCTAATTACTAGTATCTTGAAAAAAATATATAGTAAAATCTAATTTTGGCAAAGATAAAATAAATCAGTTATTAGAAATGAGTTATTAAAACTATTGTTTAGAAATATGTTGAAAAAAATCTTCTTTTTTGTTAAACAGAAATTCGGGAAATATACAGGGGGCAAATAATTTAGACTTCAACTGTATATGTTACATTGTTGTTGAAAGAAAAATTTACAATACACATTTTTACAATACACATATGGTACAGAGATTCACATGCAGTCCCATCCCCCGTTACACACAAACTCGCACGCATATTCAGTCCTCCATAGCGTGCCACTTTAACTCGCAGTATAAATTATATACTCTGCACTAATGTGCGTTTTTGATGTTTGATGGTTATAAACCACTTTGTGGCTGTAATGAAGTTATTGTTTTGTCATTATGCTCTAAATAATAGACGTGCCATCCATTTTTACGGGAGTATGAGTATGCTTTATTAAACAGTGGGAAAACTCAAGCAAGAATATTTACAATATCATAGAAGCAAGACACTGCAATTGAATATGAGTGAAAAAAAAAAACTAGTTTGTTAAAAATAAATCCGGTTTCCAACTATCCAGTGGGAAACTTGATATCAAAACAACATGAAAAAACATTAAAATGCTAATCGATGTGATGTCAAAATGATTTAACTTTGACATGAAAAACATGTCAAATACAGATTACAGGACTGTTCTGTAATTGATTCTGTAATTGACACCAATGTTAGATGTCAATTTGATGTCATTTTAGGGATACAAAATCCAGTGAATTGAAACTTGTAGCTTAATCAAACTTTTCTTTCATTATATATATTTAGTGGTCAAAAGAGCATCGATTGGCAGATGTCAAATAGATGTCATGGTTTTGACATCAAGTCAATTTGCTTCTTTTGACGTACATTAAGAATTGAAAAAAATAATATTATAGCAAGGGATATTCTATTCTCAAATGTTATAATTATAAACACAAATAAGTCATTATATAATTAATGTGACAGTTCACTTATATTTCTATCACAGAAAAACTAAACATTGGATCGAGTCTGGTTCAAAAATCTTGTTTCAGTTATTTGACATATTAGAGTCAAAAGTTCTTTAATTTTGGTTTTTAATCTGTTTTCAACACTCAATACTTTACAATAGAATTAAAGTAGTATATAATGATTCAAATTATCTATGAACAAATACTTCTGAAAGGCGACACCATGGCTCAGTGGTTAGCACTGTCGCCTTACAGCAAGAAGATCGCTGGTTCGAGCCCCGACTGGTCAGTTGGCATTTCTGTGTGGAGTTTGCATGTTCTCCTAGTTCACGTGGGTTTCCTCCTGGTGTTCCAATCCAAAGACATGCGGTATAGGTAAACTGAACAAACTAAATTGGCCATAGTGTATGTCTGTGGATGAGTTGTGTATGGGTGTTTCCCAATGCTGGGTTGCAGCTGGAAGGGCATCCGCTGTGTAAAACATATGCTGAATAAGTTGCCGGTTCATTCCACTGTGGCGACCCCTGATAGATAAATTGACGAAGCCGAATGAAAGAATTTACTTCTGTAAAAACCTATGATATGAATGAAACAAATATGAATAGAACCAGGAGGTTTGGTGAACTTTGGTGTATGTAAGTGATGCAACAGTTAAGATTTATGGCTCTGTGCAGGAGGAAAAAAAACTTTTTTGACAAAAATCTAAAGCACTTAAAATTGTATTCTCAGATGTTTTCTTTACATTAGACAAAAAAAAAGACTTTATAAAAAGCAAACAAGTCCAAAATCTCAACATCGACAGGTGCATGAACAATGAGTGTTTTTGTCTGCAGCATCTCCCTTTAAAATCTAAATGAAAAAAAATCCACTGCATCTTAAACAAAGAAACCAATAAATCCAGCCCGCCTTCTGTTGTCAAACCGTATCTGTTTTACGTCTCAGTTTTATTTAATTTTTTTTTCACTTTCCTTCTAATAATAGCAGTCCAGGTTTGGCTTTCCCTCTTATGAAAAATGATTTGAAAGCTCATAGAGAGCGAAACAACCCCAGCGGCGCTCGGCTCACCAGTTTCAACAATAGAGCGAGATTCAGTCTGACCAGAGGCTGTCAGCACCTCCTTCTCCTCCTCTATTCCCATGGCTCCGTCATTCGCTTTTCTCTTTTTCTCATTTTCTCTTCTACTTCTTGCATCTCCTCCAAACCCCCCTCCTCTGTCTCCAGCTTTCACTACAGGCTCTGTGTGAATCTCTATTGATCTGTGTAGATGGAGGAGATTGGAGCACTGATCCTGTCTTTCTGAGCTCTTCATAATAATGCTCTGACCTTTTGACCTCTCTGAATGTATTCAGCAGCAGGGGCGACTGGGAAAATGACAAGCATCTGATCGCACTATTAGTGACTGGGTTGTGTCTTTATTTATACAGTTGTACTCCATATTACACGGATCATCACATGCAAGGATCTGAAATGTTCAGACTTAAGACCCCTGTTTGGATTGAGACAACAAATCTATTTTTAGGATAAAATTGAATTTATGATACCATTTTAGTCATTTATGGTGATTACAATACATAGAAACTACTTTTTAAGTGATGTTTTATAAACAAATTTCGGGAGCACAGTCAGGCTTATTTATCATTGACAATCATTCTTTTATCCAATCAGCTCAAGACCAAACCCCTATAAATAGTCAAACATGTCATACCTCTGTTTTCTCTTGATTTCACCATCCCTCCACCACCCCAACTCTACACTATTAACCATGATACCTACTTAAATCTGGAGAGAGCATTCTGGTGCTGGGCTAGACACTGCGCTCGGACCCTATCTCTCTCTATCCTGATAAAGGGAAAAACATGAGTTAGGGTGTCTTTTCGAGCTCAGAGCCCTCTGCCCGGACAGCATGCCAAATATGCATATTCTATTCAGTCAAAAATTGGTGAGTGTGAAATTCCTTTCGAAGGATTATTTAATATACATCATAAATGTAGATGCTCCTATTATTGGCTGCCATTGCTAGGTGACCATCAACCGTTTTCTCAGAGGAAGACAAACTAGCAAAACATTGTTGTAGCTCTGATACAAGTTTTATTAATGGAGAAAAAAAGCATCGCAGTGTTTGGGTGTTCTGTTTTTGTCTGAGGTTAGTAGTCTACCGAAATGTGTATAGTCAATACAAAGTATGAAGCAGATTGGTCAGTTCTTGTCACATGACTCGCGGTGTGCTTGCGGCATTCTGAAAAGTTAAGATGTTTTCAACTAGGTTCCCCTGGAAAATGCATCACTTCCAGTATGCACGCGCAAGCCACACGTATATTTATTGATATTCTTTAAAATAATCAATTATATATCAGTTTTAATAACAATGTAGGAGGCTTTTCTGCCACTTTTTGCTCAATCTGAATAAATTTTTAATTCGTTTAAAAAATGCCAAACTACCAAAACTTACTATGCGTTCACATCAAAAGCGGCGAGAGTGTCAATGTAACCTGAAGTTATTCATTTTCAATGGGAGCCGGCATTGATAAGCATCAAGCAACGGCTCAGCGGGTGTTCGCCGGTGTGGCTATCAAGGAGAGTTAAAATCATGTCAAATTTATGGTAATGAGTTATAAAACTCTGCGTTCTGCGGCAACCAATCGAAATGTAGAGGTCCACCTCTTGAGAGGATTCCAGAGAACACAGTCCTGTGAACTTTGGTTCTGACCACAGTTGTTCCCAAGGGTTTGATTATTGCGGTGGGCAAACATTAAAAAAAGTTACTGGTGAGTTAATGTGCATTAATGTTTTTTTTTCTTTAAAAAAGCGGTAATCCCATCCTAACTATAATGACAATACAAAGCAGTATTGCTGCTTCGAAATATTTCAGAAATATGGGCACATATTGAATAAGTGGAGCAAAGCCACACCACATGCAACAACTTGATCTTCCTTAGTTAGATAAATTTGATCAACAACATTTTCGCATTAGAAAACATGTTTTTATGGGGAAATGTAACTGATTTGTTGCAACAGCCTGTTTAAATACGTGATTAATGTAGCGAGTTTTTATGTTTTCGGAGCTGTGAAGGCAGACAGCAGTGTCGCCAGAGCGAACTTTGATGCTCTCGCCATCTTTGGTGTGAATGTACAGGTAGACTTCAT